TTACATTCACACTACTAGTAGATTAGTTAACTCAGTTTCCCATGCTGCCTAGGGGTGCTTATGTGGCGTGCTCTGCGAAGTAGTGTTGGTAAACAAAGGCTGATCTTTTTAACTCGTCAACAAGGAGTTGTCCTTGTTTCCCTAGCGTTCCGCTTCCATACTGATGAGCCCGTTGAGGCTATCTCTGATTCCGAGTATATAGTAGCCTACATAATTGACATTCTTTTTTTAAATACCATCATATAACGTATACTGGGGTGAAATGTCTAGAAGAAATGATACTGCCCAAGCAGTGGTGGCTTAATGGTTAGGGAAGCGTCCAATACCTTTTTCTGAAAAATATTTGTTAGCCCATCATCCTTTACTGTCAAGATTCAGAATTATCTGACAGATGTTACTTAGACTTACTAGTCCTTTCTAACCTTGACTGACATACTATTGATTCCGACTCCCCCATTTCTGTATCCATGTAACCAGCATGCGGTCCATACTTCGGAACCACCGGTACCGGCGGGATGCCCGCACGCTGGAGGATGAGGAGGAGATGTGGTTCAACACAGATGAGGATGACCTGGAGGATGGGGAGGCCATAATGTCTCCTCCTGACAAGACCAAAGCTGACGATGATCTCATGGACCCGTTCAGCAAGTTCATGGAGAGGAAGAAATGTGTGTGCATCACATGAGTTAGACCAGTAGTTACCTTGAAACAAAGTGGGGGCTGACGGCACGCAGTGTTCACACCCCACCGGCATAGTGCGACTGGCTTCCTCCAGTGCTTAGAGAGTGCAATTACTGTTAAATTGTGGCAGCATTTTTGGTGTGGTGAGCTGACTCATTGTAGACCTGCATGCTCAGGCCTCCAGCACTGAAATATATACTAGGTGTTTCCGTCATAGTGTAAGTCAGGTCCATGCACCTGACCGTGAACCGTCATTTAGTGGTCAGGCGACATCTGCATGTGTACACTGTACATCAAAGAACATAACTTAATTAAATGGTTTAAATGGAATCAGTATCATCAAGCAGTTGCATACACATCAGCAGCTAGTGAGCAGCAGCAGCTTACAATCGATTGAGTTATAATTTCTTTTTGCATGGCTGCTACCTAATTTTTTTTAATAGCAGTATTTTTCCTGGCCTATTTTTTATTTAAATGAACCAAATGTTCATCCACACACACACGCGCGCACGCATGCAGTTTTATTATTAGCTAGGTTGGTCCAACAACAAAAAGTTAATTCCAAGGTTAAAAATGTTTGCCAACAGACGGTACGTGTGACAGTACAGAGGTGTGTTTTGTGTCCTCTGTCATTTACGAGTATTTTCTTTTGATTTAGTGAAAGAGTCTGAAGAGAAAGATGTGCTGGGGAAGTCAAGCCTGACTGGACGCCAGAGTCCCAGCTTCAAGCTGTCCTTCTCCAGCTCCACCAAGCCCAGCCTCGCCACTCCATCCTCTAACAGCCACCATCCTGGCTCACCTGGCTCACCTGGGTCACCTGGATCTCCAGGTTCGGCGGGGTCTCCTGGTTCTGGACCCAAGAGCTCACACCCCGTGGCAGCTGTCACCGCCAAGGTGTCGTGTTCCTTATCATCATAGGATAGTGATGTAGAGTGATTGTGATTGTGATGCATGATTGTGTGTATTTTAGGGTGGTCCTTAGCTATGAGTCAAATTTTAAAATGGCAGCTTTTCATTCACTCACCCTTTTATTTTGTGATACGTTGTAAGAAAGTATTCCTGGCAAAAATTTTCAGTGTTTAGAGGTTTCTCAACAAGATCAAAGTCTATAACTGTAAATGATCAAAATATACCAAATTTCAGCTGCTGAAAACAAAACGGCTACAGCAACACAAACATTTTTTACAAATAGGTAAGAACAAAACAAACAGTGGAGTTTGTAATCAGCAATCAGTAAACTGACACTATGGTTGAACATACAAGTTGGCTAACTGTCGGTAATACTCGTTAATCTCTTGGGTCATTCATTTGATTGCTAGCAGAAATGTGCTAAACATTTTTTATTTTTATTTTTTTTTAAGTTTAGCATCAAGAGTGCTTTCTACCATGTTACTTAACATTTGGTCAATTTAACAACAAAAAAAAATCAAGAATCATAAAATTTGACCAAATGAAACGGCGTGTAAAAATCTGAACACATGTGAAACTGTGTTTACTCTAAAATCCCAAACAAAATAAGTGACAAAAGTTAATAAGAATGAAAAGCATTCTTTTTGCATGGCTACTACCAACATTTTTTAATAACAGTATTTTTCCTGGCCTATTTTTAATTTAAATGAACCAAGTGTTCATCCACACACACACACACACACACACACACCTACCCACCCACAAGTGCCAACCCAAAGAAATGAAAATGGGATGTTTTTAGGCGAAATTAAAAATCCAAAATCAAAAATGCTGGCTGCAATTGAGAAAACAAAATAAGTACCAAAAAATAATCAAATGAATCACCCAAGAGACCAACAGTTGGATGATCAAACTAGGCTTTAGCCATTCAAGCTGCTTGAGTAACCTCTAAAGATGCTTGGGAAAAAAAAATCCTATTAGGTTTTCTTATACAAGACAACAAATTAGGGGGTGGTGAGAACTAGCATTTTCAAATTTTTGTTTTTAAGGACCGCCCTAGTATATATGCATAATAGCATGACTGAATAAATGGATATTTGACAGTATTATTGGCCTTCTAGGGTTTGGTGGGGCTCGTAGATTACCCTGATGATGATGAGGAGGAGGAAGATGATATAGAAAGGAACCAGCCCCTTACCAAGAAGTCAAAGCTGAGCTCATAAAAAGAGCTGGCCCTCACGCCACCCCCCCCTCCCCCCCCCCCCAAGTTCCACTGGTGCACTCTTCAAACGGCATATCCTTAAATTAACAGTTGACCTCTTTTGTTCCAGTGGATGTTTAGAGGAGGCGTTTGAAGAGACAAATCTTTCAAACACACACACACAGTTTTATTATTCAAGTGCCAACCTGAAGAAACAAAAATGGGATGTTTTTTGGACAAAAGTAAAAATTCAGTTATACAAAAATGCTGGGGGCAAATACACACACAGACTGATGTGCAAAAGGTGTGTGAGACTTGGACCATGCTCACTGCCCTCCTCTCAGGGATGGACAATGCTGCAGCCTTTAATGGGTCTGCAAACCCAGAATCACCACTCGGACTTTGACGTCAGTCAGATCAGACTCCATTGTCTGTTTTTCTTTTTTAAAAGTTTCATTTGTTTCTTGGACCAGACATGGACATTGAGGACTGAGGCGGCCTTCCCTCAGTGGGCATTCTTCCTTTGAAATGCCAGCAATTTCTTCTCTGTTTCTTCTTTTTTTAACGAAACACCTGCCTTTAAATGTTCAGGACGCTTTTATGTCGCATTTGAACGGGTTTTTAAAATTCTCTGGGGGAGTGCAGCTGGAAAATGAGCCTCTGGCTTTATTCTTTTCTCTTTTGCCCTTTGAAACTGCAGATTTTTGAGATGTCACCCCCTTCTTGATTAAAAATGTAGTGAAATTTTATCTGTGATCATTTTGTCTTTTTATTTTTTCCCCCATGAGAGTAGTCTTGGATGTTGGAGCATATTTGGGACCATTAAAATACTTTTGTAATATAATTTCACTTTTATGCTGATGGTCAGCATGTTTTATTTTCTTGTCACGTCATGATGATAGAAGTCAGTGGGTTCAGCAAAAACATAAATGCATCCAGTTAGCAATACTATTTTGTGATTTAAAAGTTTTATATTGAAATTGTCAAATGTCCGTTACAATAAAACTGCAATGTAAAACTGTCATGCAGTAATTCCAGAGGGTTTAAACACTGCTATGAAGCTTCTGTGCTATACAAAGGCCTTCTACCCCCCCCTCCCCCCTCGTCCCCCAGCTATGACCCTTGGGTATTTTTGTCACTTTTTATCTCTCTTAATTTACACATAGTTTCACCAGAAAACAAATTTGGTGATCAGTGGCCTGCATAAAAGCCAGAGAGCAGCCAATTATTGAAATTATATGCACTGTTATCCATATTATCTAAGAGGAGCATTTAGTCTGTTTTTAATACGCTGTTATGCACAGGCTTCTTAAAGCCCAGATATTGTGTCCAGTAATCAATATTGATGGGATTTAGAGGCCAGATATTACCTGCTGATCAATTATTTAAAATTTTAATTATTAAAAAAGCCCTTTGTACTGAAATACATCATGCATTTTTGGAAAAAAAAATGCACCAAGCTGGTGAAACATACATAATGTGTTTGGTGTAATTACCAATGTCAAGAAATACATTTCACTTGAATGTTTACCAAAAAATTTTTAAGTGGCTATATTTATATTTCTAATACTTCAATATATCTGGACGGGACGTGTTATACTCATGTACAGTAGTAATGTGTCCTGAATTTAATAAATTCACTATGAATAACAACGTCTGATGAACTGAAAATGCTTATAAAACGCTTAATTTCTTTCTAGAGCTCTGACAAAGGTTTCTTTAAATGGAACAAATAACGGTATCATCTTTAAGGTAAACATGTATCGTGGTGCACAATACTTGCACAGGTAGTGCTGGCATTTTTGTTTCATTTTCGTTGAGCGTTCATGCCAGTTATTTGCCAACCACTTGGGCAAATTGGGGATAAATTAACGTTAGTGAATGGGAATAACCAAGATATGCGTGAGTAACAGTCAGTGTTTGCATATCTATCTCCCCAAAGTAGATCCTTGATGCCTCGTGCAAATAGACACCGGAAAACACACGTTTAACTTTGCAGTGTTCAGAAACAGCAGGGGGAGCTTTGGAGCGCTTTCACCGTTCTACAAGCCTACCTTGGACCCCTTTCTGAGGGTGTCCTAATGATGGCTCGGTCTTGGTTACGTCATTTAAAAGAAACGGGGTAACGCACACTGATTAAACTGGAGCCCCGCCCTTTGCGCTGATTGGCTGCTCTGGATGTCCGGTAGCATGCAGGTTAGAGGTTGTGTGAAAAGAAGCGCGAGGTATTTCTCTTTGGGAGGTGATGGGTTTTTGTCGGTTACGTTTGACCTATTTTTGTGTTATTTATTTAATGTATATAGTACTTTTAAAAGTACATTTTAAAATTGTTTTAAGACTTTAAGGTGTGTGGGATAAAACATTCATGCAATCCTCTTATAAAATTAAGTTAAACTACTTTGCAATTGAATCTCGTTATTACCCTGTACATCCAATAAAACGCTGGACGTATTTTGCAGTGAAGCGTTTTAACCTGCGGTTTACCTTTGATGCTTTGCTGACTGAAGCGATAAACGGGGGGAGAGGATCATTATCGTTTTGAAGTTTACTCAGAAAGCGGTTCCTTCACAACTTCTCAAAAAAGACAGTCAGTCTTTACTGGTATGGAATAAAAGGCCGACGATCTCGCGTATCAGCTTGAAGAAACGAACAAACTAACCAGATTTTGTCATCGTTTGAACAGAATAGCTGGTCTGCGATGCCTATTGTTCTGCCCCGGAGCGACCATGCAGCCTTAGTTGCCTGCTCCTTTTCTTAAAACGCAGCCGGGACCCCGTCCCTGCGGAGGTTCCACTGTTTTGTGTTGACTGCTAATTCTGTGAAAATGGATGTTACCGTTTCGGAGCTGATGACAAACTTCTTGGATTCCCCTCTGGTGGTCTGGGTAAGTAGACTATAGCACAGCACAGTAAGCGCTTGTTATTTGTGTTATGTCACCTGCAGTGGGGAAATGCTTGATATCGATACCAGTGGATATACTGTTACCATACTATTGTGCTGTTTTTATTTATTTATTATAATGTTTTATTTTTTTGTCTAACTTGAAACTTCCCCGCGACGTTGTTTCTGTTAGCATCATTTATGCAGCTTCAAAACTAAGGCACTTTTAAATCAGCAAAATGAAAGTACCGATTTGGCAAAGTCTGCCTAACTCGTAATCCGATTTGTATTCTAGCAACAGAACGCTTTAAAATGAATACCCTGCATCAAATATTGTGGTTTATCAACAGGAGATGTACTCTATCTTAAGTTTTGTTTTCATTATTATACAATGTAAACAGAGTTAGATGTATACAATAAGCAAAACCAAAATCACTTTCAATTTACGGCCTATATCAGACAGTGAATTTTAATATCAGTGTATCGGGCTGACAAATAGCAAGGGTTTCTATCGGGATGGACAGTACTCGGAATAAGAAATAATCCGATGATTTAAGAGCCATTCGTTAGCATAGGGATGGAAGGATGACGATGAAAAGCCCACGTGCCGAGTTGCATTCACTCAAAATCAAATCAAGTTTTGTCATGGCACACAGCAATACCGCTAACATGAGTCATTAAGTATAAAAGAAAGAAAATATAAAACAAAGATCCTAAATAGACTAAAATAATATTCCAACCAGGTAAACCACCCCCCGCGATGGCTGGGCTGAGCATCGCCCCGTTTCTCCTTTAAACTCGGCGGCGATACCTCCGGGCTGAGCTGCTGCATTTATGAGGCATACGATGGGGCAGGAAGTGCGCTTTCAGTCTGATAACTGCAGAATTAGATTTGCCTGCAGCTGCGGGTGTTTTTTGGACTTTCCAGCGAAGGTTGGCCCGTTGTTTTAAATTCTGCAGTTCTGCCGCGCTGCCCTCCTAATAAAACATGGAATAGACCCCTGTTCTTCATATAGACCTATTTTTTTCCATGATGGTCTTTCTTTTTAAAATACAAGACATTGACTTGTGCAGTATTATAGTCATATTTATCACTCTATATGATCACTATCATTTTTAGAAAATCCTGAATAAGCCTATAGAAAAGGGAGCTGAAGTTGAATTTTTTTTGTGCTAGTGAAATATTTCCTTTTTTTTCAGTGAAACAATTTGCGCTGATGTGAGAGGAATTGGAAAATCCACTGGAAGCAAAACTAAACAGAATGAAAAATGGCAGGAAGGCAACATGAGACCATAAATTATAAAGTGCTGAGATGGTTTTTGAGATGCTCAGGCGCATACTTGTCCTCTTGTGGTCCAGCCACTTACTTAGCTGGACTTTGGGCACTTGAATCCACTAATGAAGCATAAGGCCGCCCCTAGATCTTTAGTGATTACCTTTCAGTTGGTGGCAGGCGGCTGGGCCTCTCCATTGAGACGCTCTAGCTGAACACTTTGGGTGTGCGTCAGCACTGTTGAAGCGTTGCTAGGCCGGCCGTGCCTGGGCGCAGAGGAATGTTGGCATTTTGTGAGCAGCTCCGGGCTGATTGTCTAACCCCCTTCCCAAGCAGGAAATGTGAAACCCCCCATCAAAGCTGTAATTCCAAAAAAGGGAATATTTGTGATTAATATATATATATGTTTGCTGGCCCTGATATCTTTGTGGAACTGATGATTTTTTTTTTTTTTTTTTGCAATGCAGTTTTCAGTCATGTAATGACTTGAGTAAGAAGGTTGAAGTTTCTAAGGGGTGTTTTCTGTGATAAAGCCTGAACTTTACCATAATATCTTGTCCATAATGAGTTGTATGACAAGTCATAGTTTCTTTTTTAAGATAATTATAGGACTTTCGAGGGTACTTTTGAAGGAGGGCTTTTGGTATGGTTTGAAGACACATTAGTTTGTTTATGTAATCATCCCCCCCATGTTAAACTGTCTGATCTCACTTCGTCTGCTCTGTCTTCAGGTCAAAACATTTGGAGCTCTTACCAGCAACTCTGAAGATAACCTATCCTTGTTCATGGAACTGGTGGATGGGGTTTTCCTGCATAAGATCATGACACACATGTAAGTTCCCACCAGCTAATATCAGACCAACACATGGGACTGTAAATTTTGATTTGTGGAACGTCTGGAGGGGGCAAAACGGCTCAAGCATCGTCGTATTATGTATGAATGCAGTGCATATTGCAACATGTGAAATCCCACCATTGTTCAATGTTAAAAGCAAAACCGCACAACTTGTAGGCATACTGTATGGCAATAAGTCAGGTGTGAAGTCTTTATTAGAAGTGCCTGGGGATAAAGAACCAGTAAAAGGCATCCAACACCCTGATACTGATTGTTACTCTTATGTTTGTAATATTAGTCATTCAGGTAATACAGTTAAATACTCTTGGTCCAAAATCACTGTCTGATCAGTATATGCTGTCAGTTGTGTGAATTGGTCTGTGTTGAGGTGGAGTCAGGAACAGAAGTAACATTCTAGCAGCTTCTGTCGTGTTGTTTCTGCTGATACTACTTCATTACTTACTGCTTCTCTACTCCTGGTGTGCTCATGTGCCTCTTCACAGGGGGGATTTATTGCAAGTCATGGTCCTTGTTGTATATAGGAGTGAGTGTTTCCAGGTTTCTATGGTTATTATTATCATCATTAGTATTATTATTATTATTATTATTATTATTATTATTATTATTATTATTGAAGGTGTAAGGTGCTTAAGTTTAATACAAAATTTGGATGTTTCTGCAGTGGTCTGGTGTGGTAAGCTTGAGGTGACTGATACAGAATCTCCTCGGACATGCAGGCTGAGCTTTATGTAACAGAAAAGGGGAGATGAACCTGCCGTGGACGGGTCCCAACTTGCTCAATGGCCCTGAGTGATTAATAAGCTGTGTTAAGTAAACGTTACCGTATTCCGGGAGAGATGGCCTGGGACTGTACCCTGCTGCCAGAGTTGGCTGCAGAGTAGGCCACTCTGGGGGTCTGAGGTCATGTGATGTTGTTCAGTGCTGTTCATCACCATCTGCTGGGATGGAATCTTGAAGCTGGGAACCTGGATTTGACCTGTGGTACTTTGCTTGAATGAGTGACACATTACTACTTTGGAAGTAAAGAAATCATATTTTATTCAGAGGTCATCTTCAGACACCCTCCAAGCCCTGATGGTCCAGTCACCCTCTCTTTGTACCAGGTCTTGTGCATCAACCACTGGCTGTCTGTGCAGAGTCCAGTCCAGTCCTTCATATTCTCAGCCATTCACCTCACTTTAAGAAATTCACAAGTTCCTTTCAGCCGTCTCCCTGTGACTGAGGGGTTTTCTGGTTCCCAGGTTTCTGTTAATATATATTTTCTGAATCTAGTCATAGTGTGACATCTGGAAGAGCCATGTGTTTGGAAAGTCCAAAGTAATGCATTCCTCCAGAGTGAATTTCTGAACCTGTAAAACTCTAGAAATAAATATTCCACTCGTGTTTTTTTTCTGTTCTTCAGTGATCCGAGCCCCACAAACCAGAGGGTGAACAAACATGTAAACAACGATGTCAACCTGCGAGTGCAGAACCTCAATGTTGTCGTCAGGCACATCAAGACCTACTACCAGGTAGGCCCTCCTAACCTCTTCCTGTCTGCTGACACCCAGAATAGTCTGCGGCACAAAGCTGTGTCTATTACCAAAGGCGTATATCACAAGAAGATGACCTTAGATTTTGTGGTTGTGTGTAAGTGGACATTTGCACAAAGGTTGGCACAGAGAAACAGCAGTTCTAGTAGAAGTTGAATGTGCAGTTGCTTTCATACAGTGGTACACTTGTTCTATGAGTGGACAAGCATTCGGAGTCATTCAGTGCTCCTGATGTTTCAGAGCTGTAGACAGCAGCTGTGCAGTGAACAGCGTCAGCTCTGGAGGGACCCCAAGAAGGGGTTAACTTTTCTATGGTTTTGCACAATAACCGAGTGCTGATCTTTCTCTGGTTTCACCGCCCCTGGGTTGCTTTGGGTCTCTGCTCGGCCTTCTCTTCTCATCCTTGTAGTGGTTCCCTCTAGGTGAGACAGGAATGCACTTATCTGGAATGTAAAGCAGCGGAGGGCTTGAAGGGGAGCCCTTGGTTTGGTTTCGGGAGAGTCATCACTGCTGCACTACTATGTGTTTAATGAAAGTGTTCAGCTAAAGTGGGGCTCTTTATGTGTTTGGAACTTTTGGGAGTGATAGTGGTGCAGCTGTGCTGGGAATATGAACTCCCTCCATGTTTGCCAACAACTCCCTTTGGCTCTTGACTATATGCATGGAATTCTTCCAGGTCAAAGGTCACAAGTTCTGGGTAGTGTTCATGCATGCTCCTCAGTGTCTGCCTTGGTTTCACCATGTGGACTCTGTCTTTTGTAATATGTATCATTGGATGATGAGCACAAATCTTGAGCGTTTCATCGCTGATTTAATTAATAGGGGTGTAAATCACAGCTTTCCTCGCAATACGATACAGTATCAATTCCTTAAGACAAAGGTTCGATTTTTTTTTTTTTGATACCTCAGAAATTCCCACGATACGATGCGATACGATACGATTCGATTCAGTTCGATACTGGGGATAGTAGTCGAAATGATAAAATTTCACACAATCCTTTACATTTCAATGGATTAAAAAAGGCAAATATAATTAGCATTTTATCATATTTTATTGGGAACTGTAAACAAAATCTAGTGTAGTCAAGTATGTCCCATAAATCAAACAAAATAAAGTGCAATAAGGTAAAAATAAAAACTTTGGATGTAGATTAACATGGTGAATAATTTTTATTTTGAATCGTCTTCTCCAGACAAATACAAAAGTGTAACAAAAAGTATAAAAGTACGTCCATAACCATCATGACCTGCTCCTATGACCCTCTCGTGTGCTAGAGGCTTCTTACTTGGTCCAGCTCCCCCATTAATTTTTATACCCTTTCTTAAGTTTAGTAGAAATAAATTGGAGGCTAACTAGGCGACTCGGTAGCTTGCAGCAGCTGGCGCGGTTGAACGCGTCATCCATCCTCTATTTTTTATGCCATACGATCTACCCACTCTACCTTTGCGATCGACCAGTAGATCGCGATCGACGTATTGGGCACCCCTGGTGTAGACTATGTATACTTCGGAGTGGATCATGAAAACAATACTGGAACAGGCCAGAAAATAAAAACGCATGTATCGATATTTATGCGGTCACTTCGATGCATTGCATTGTTTGCTGTCGAATCGATATATCGATACAAATCGATGTATTGTTACACCCCTATTAATTAATGTTCTTCATTTCATAAAGCAAAACATCTGATTTTCAAAGAATGTTGCTCATTTCATCAACTTGGGACCATGATCAATAGCGTCCCAGCCACTCTGCAGAGACTGATGACAGGGTGTGGAGGATGGAGATGGGGGGTGGTGTTGTGATCCACAGCCCCAGTAAAAAAATCTTGCTGAATCTGTTTTTGTCCTTCAAATTAAAAGTCTTTCAGTAGATATCACCATTATCCCAGTACCATCACTACTGCATAGGTGCTTGTTGACATATATTGCAGATATTTGGGATTGACTGTATTATTACCTTTTTGGTGTTTAGGCTAGTTGTCGCAAATGGTAATTATACAGTTTTTTTTTTTCTTTTCTTTTACAAAAAGCAGTATAGTTGTGCAAGAGTAGTACCTCTCCTCATCTTTAAAAAATAATCACCGTTGATCCTGCTGTTAGATGTACTGTGACGATACAGGACCTGGGTTGTTTGGGGTCAGTGCGTATCTGATTTGAACCAGATGTGTTTTTTTGCAGCTGTAAATGAATCCTTTGGCCCCTATGCCCCCGGGATATAGCACTTGGCTGGCCGGTTGAGCGGGGGCTGTAATCTGATAAACGGTGCGGTTTGGTCAACAGCAGCACCCTGGAGGGCTTCCAGTGGCAATCTGAGGCTCATTCAGCAGGAACAGACTGGTGGGGTGGGGGGGGGCACTAGCTGCCTGACGCAAAGAACACATGTCAGAAGGCAGGGGAACTTCCTGGGTGAGATGCCAGTCCATCACAACACAGACAGACACACACACACACACACCACTGAACTGCATGTCCTTAGACTGAAAGTCTGGAGGAAACTGGGAGAACATGCAGTCTCCACACGCACAGCAGGGCCTGGATAGAAGTGCCAGTCTTGGAGATACGAGGTGACAGTGCAGCCCACTAAGCCACTGGGCCACTGACAGACTGGGGTTACTGTTTTCTGTGAACTGAAATGGGTATTTATGGAAGCATGTGTTTTAGTTAATTCTCCATGTAGACTTTGCCATGAGAGCCTAAGTGGCTACTTCGGTGTATATTAAATTATTCAGTAAACCTTGGTTCTCACCTTCACTTTAAAGCAAGATAGGACTGCATGAACTCTCCTCTTTGGTTTTCATTGCCAGCTGAAGGTGGCTATGAACCTGGATAACATGGTATCTACTCAGCTTGGACCAGTGTTTATCCAGCATGAATGAGAAATGGTTGTGGAGGACGGGGCGTTGTGCAGCCAGCAATTGAGAGTGATCGTTCACATCGTAAGTTGGGTGAAGGATAACCATCTTCAGAGAGCTGTACCCAGTGACTGCATCCGCTCTGCGCTGCCTGAGCATGATGCAGGTGGAAATGGCCCAGATGTAGATAGGGCTACATGACTGAGTGCTATTCTCAGTGTCAAGGAAGTGAGGAGGGTGCTTAAGGTCAACGAGCGCTCCACAGGTAGGGTGGACATGCGTTCTTGTGTGTGCATGCGTAAATCCCATGGCTCTGCGTTTTTGTTCACCAGCACGCCTCTTCACTGGCGTGTTTTCTTTCTGATCTATACCATGTTCTCTCCATCTCAATGAATGTATTAACCCTCCCTTACTTACCCACACTTCCACAGAATGATCTGTCAGTACCAACGTCTTTCTCTCAGTCTGAGCCCCGCATTTGGCTCCTTACTTTCACAGTGTGATATGTGAGGCCAAGTCTGAGTCCTGGTGTCTGTTTCAGGTTTGGTGCTGCAGCTGCTTTTTGGGGGGGGGTGACTCGTTTCCTCCTGAGAGGTTAATCTGGGTCTCGCCCCCGTGCCACAGCGAGCAGCTGTCTGCCCCCCACCCCCTCCGCCATGCCTCTGTATCATTCACCTTCCGAAGCGTGTCGTTCAACTTGCCCTGTGCTTCTAGTGCGTGTACCTTTGTTCTCAAGGTCAGCTAACCTCATTCTGAGCGAGAGTGGAAACCAGTTGTGGTTTTGTTGCCTGTCTGGTACCTGTCTCTGGATCAGACGGTCTTTCCTTTCCACCAGCACATGTTTTGGGGGGGCTTGTTTGTGCCTTTTGGTTGCATCTTGCTGCGCTGTGCAATGCCGTCCCCTCATTCGTCACGCCGTAGGCCGCTCGCCTGCGGATGCACCATCCTCTAAGAGGAAATGCACTGGTGCAGGTTGGTGGTTTCCGGTTGGCCGTTTGACCGCAGAGATGCCATCGTGTAGCTGTACCTGATGACACTGATCATGATGAGGAATGTTTGTTTATTTATTTTGTTTTAAATGATCATATTTTCTCTTAATGTTATATAATTGGTTTTAAATATAGGGCTTAAACAGTGTTTATCGGAGCTCAGGTAACTCTTGCTTCTCACTGGTAATGATGCTTATTGCTTTTTATAGCCGTATCTAAAGAGCAGATGCATAATTCTATCACATGTGCGCGTACGTGCGTGTGTGTGTGTGTGTGTGTGTGTGTGTGTGCCTCCAGAATGCAGCGTGAGCCGGAATCTAGCACACATCACACTGCTGGTGGGGGCTTCTGGCCCCTGCATCATTGTTTCAACAACTGCCATACTGGGACCCCGTTGTTCTGGTGGTTAAAAGGCTGGAGTCGTGCTCCCCTCAGCAGTCTGGCCCGTATCCCACTCAGCACGCCGCCATCGACATTTCATCTTTGTAAATTTGCTGGTTTTGGGGCCAGTTCAGTATAAACCGAGTATGAAAATTACAGTTCTCGTGTAAGAATCGCCTTTTCAAACCCTTGATATAAATAATTAGTATTTGTTATCTCAGCTTTAAGCGAAACGAGTCAAATGTGGTTTCTAGAGCTGCACTGTTCAGTCATGGTACAGTTTATTATAATAATGTGGTCATACTAGTACTAGCTTCCATGTGCTGTGTTGCTCAGGCTCCTCCTGGTTACTCTAGTTGGGTGTAATTTGGTGAGTAAGTATCCGTATGTGTCCCTGGGCCTTTGTGCTGCTGTGTTTGCATACAGTTTCCATCACAACTGCTCTAATCCACAGCGCCTGTTTGTTTGCTAGCCTCTATCTCACAGGACTGGTTCCCCAGGCATTATCCAATATTCCATTTTCCCGCTCTGCCTTCCCCAGTCCCGGGAGTCTGGGCGGCACTGCGTTCCGGGAGTCTGGGCGGCATTGCGTGCCCGCAAACTGTGGCTTCCTGCTCAGAAATGCCACACGCGGTGCCTTTCGCGTCTGGATCAGGCTGCGGAGCGTGCGTGACCCGCCATGCGCACTTCCCACTGGCGCACCAGCAGAACTTTGCTCCGTGTCTTATTGGCTCATTTACCCCCAGCTGTCACCATGGTAACCAGGCCGGCGTCGGTCAGTGTTCCTGAGAGTAAATGGCCCCGGGTCCGCCAGCGTCACCGATCCGCTCGGCATGCGGGTGGCGTTTTCCGGGGGTCGGCCCGCTCTCTGGGCTGCCTTTGTGCAATGAGGAGGTGGCCCCTTTGCCCTCACTGTTCCTCCTTTGTTGGGGGGCTGTTTTATTTATGATGCCAGTGGGCAGGCAGCCCATGACCATCCAGCAGAAGCATTATGCTGTACATAAAGTAATGTAACACTTGAAAACAGGGCAGGACTTACTGGATTCAAATAATGACAGGCCCCCCTTTTCTTGTGGGGGCACGAATGCTGGCGTTCATAGAGCTGTAGATCATCCCTGTGTCCCCTCATCACCCCCCCATGAGGCCCCCACTGCATTTGGCCTCTTGCAGCTGAATAGTCACTGGCAGTGTCTTACTGGGGCATCATACCCCCATTTGTTCTCTGTCTAGAAGGCTGAGGGTCTCCTCCTGGTGTTTTATTCTGGCTTATTGTAACCCTGCTGTCCCTACTGATCTATTTAATGTTTGAACCGAGTAGTAAACAGCATTGCCCGCTAAATGTGGGCAGACGGCCATGGACCCCCCCCCCCATCCAATAGAATCCTTGATTTCCCCCCCCAGCCAGTCTTGTGCTTCTGGGTATTAGTTTAACCGTGTGCCAATCATGAATGTCACATTCAGTTTAACTGCAGCAAGCATCTGCTTTGAATTCAACAGGAGCGCAAGTGTCATCTGTAGATTGGCAGGAAGGCAGCCGGCCCCTTTTTTTCAGGCTTGTTTTCGGCCACGTCAGGTATGATTCATTGCCAGAACAGATTTTTTTTATGCTTCTGTGACAAACAGGAAGTCGATTAGCGTCGTGTGGCCATGTGTTCCTGTGAAGGGTTGGCTTTTACTGAGGTCCCCCTACTCGTGCTTGGGGCGCAGTAAAGAGGAGATGCAATCTGTCATTATAACATATCCCCCCCCGTTGCATGGTGTAATGTATAAACTGTGTGTTTGGAGATGTGGTATATTCCTGTTCATTTTTCTTCCTGTATTAATTTGCATCACTGCATGGCATCAATATTTCTCTCCCTCCGTCACGCCTGCCTGACCTAGAGACGAGTTGACCTGCTTAACCTCATGCCCGTTCTTTCGGTTGTATGACTGGAATAACAAATGTGATGTGATTGGACAGAAACCCTCGGATGGGAGGGGGGGGGGTCGGCTATCGGTGGCTCTGCTCACCCGTGCGTCAGGGGAGTGCGGAGAGCAGCAAGATGCTGTGTGGTAATTCAGAAACTTTACACTGACGTTTGCAGCACGTGTTTCCCAGAAGAACGTTCTAGAGCAACGTGGCCCCAACCAGCAGGATAATGGTACTAGCTGGCAAACATGCAGTGGGCAGGTAGGGTGTAATCACTATCAGTGCAGAGGTGCTGACACTGCTGTCTGTGAGATGGGACACATGCCAGTCACATCCTGGGGCAGGGGAGACAGTTTACACTCAACCCTTTAATCGCTGTGCTGGTTGGTCATGTGACCATCTTACTCTTCCACTGTTCCGTTAACGCTGAGTTCCTTGACTATCCAGCTCTTGCAGTTGGCATAACTTGTTAAATAAATAAAGCACATCTGTGTACATGTGTGTCTGTGGAATAAGTGCTTTTCTAAACAACAAATTGGTGAAATAATCCTGCGTTAGGCTCAGTCACCCACAACGCCACCGGAATTCCGGTTAGGCAAAAAACAGGAAGGGACATCCCTCCATAGTGCAGAAGATTGGTACAGACCTTCAGATGTTTTTCGGTCCCCTTAGTCAACTGTAGTGTGAATAATCAGCCTGTGCGC